GAAGCGAAACGACAGATGAAAATGAAAACAATGCCTACGCATTCCAAGTTCGTCTTGGACTGTGTGAGTTTCAAACAAAGCATGCAAAATTAAACGGTAGCTGTTGGGCTCACTCACCAACACACTCACATAAGCAAGCAAAGCAGCAACTGCTTCAAAACGAGCACAGATGAGTGTCGTGATTGTCAGGAATGACCAGATCGGTGATGGATCACAACAGAAGACGACATTCACCAGTTGCTTTTTACTTCTTTCGTCAACTTGATGGATGCTCATGGAGAGAGCTTCGACGAGCACATTGATAGGAATGTACAAAGCGTTACTACCAACAGCTGTTTGTTGATGGTGATTGTGATAGGTCGCAACTCTGATCATAACAATCAACTCGTATATACATTAAAATACATATATAAAAGGGAAGGGACGGTACAATAGGGCACCCGATTGAAGTGATTTGGACGGGGAGAGTGGGAATGCCAACTCCCTGTTGATAACATTTCGTGGATAATAAGCGGACTCTTCTCCCCACTCATTGGGGTATCTTCCTTTTTGGGGGCTTGTCTTTTTGACCAATTGGCTGATCAAGTTGCTGGAAGGAGATTCTTTATTGTTCCGTAGATGCGTATAGGTGACTTTGCCTATCGATCTATCCAATCCGTTTTTGGCCCTTCATACAGCGACATGTTGAGGACAATCAGAGGTTATTAAGCTTGATCAAGACAAACAGAAAAAAGAGCCCACTGCTGTCGGACTTAGTTTCCGTGCTACAATGGGTGGTAAACAGAGCTGGTAAATATCACCGCCGTCATGCGAGAATGAGAAAACAGGTCCTCTCACTATCACGAGACGAAACTACCTATCATTCGTTTTCTTGTCATTTTCCAATGATCAAGCCCTCATGAGAATAATTCTATAACGGTTTTTACATCTACATTTCTAACTGATTTAGATTAATTCAAGCATGTAACCGTATGTTATCGGTAGAGTGAATATATTATTACGATTTTTTCGGTACAAGTAACTTTAAAAGTTTTGTCATGACGAAAAATTCGATGAGATTTTGAAAAAAAATCTCTATCATCGTTTTCTCATCTGATAATAGTGACAGGAGTATCTCTGTAAATATCGCGTGAGATCTTTCATTGAATATGACATTTGCCAGCCCTGGTGGTAAACAACTATCTACATCATGTCAAGTTATTGGAACTACCCTAAAGTTTTTTGATCTTCACTAAATTTAAAAAAAAAAAAGGGTTGTGTCCTAGACACGACCGCAGTATGACGTAGAACCTATCTATTTATCTCTATCTATGATGCATCATATATGCATTTAGGTTAACATCCGACGTCCCTCCTTTTTTACATATTCTGCACAAAACATACTTTCTAAGCCCCGCAACTGACAGGATTTCCCGCCATTTTATTATGAATGGGAGCGTAACAAACGTTTCTTATGTGCAGAATATGGAAAAAAAGGATGGACTTTGGATGTTAATATAATTTCATATATAGAGGTACCAGATATGTTTTACAGTCAGTTGTTGGTAATTCATCGAGTGTATGCCTCCTGTTAAGCAATTTTTTTTTGAAAATGTTGGCTCTGCATGTAAAAAATTATTTGTTTATACATAATTTTGGTTTGCTTAAAATTTATTTCCAGGAAAAAAATGATTGTCCAAGTCCATGTCTTTTTCGGGTTATGTTAAGGGGGGAGGGGGAGAGGTTGTTAAGGAGAAGGGGGTTTAAAATGCACGTTTTTTCAAGTCTCATTCCTCATTGTGGTAGACACGCCATGGTCCACCTTTAGCCGTTGACTTAGTCCTGCTTGCTGCAGGACCTAGTGCCACGCCGTCCGAAGCGGTAATGAGCAGAGCGCTGATTTATATCTTTTCAGGTTCAAGCAGAATGATGTGCAACCAAGTGGTATTCGTTTATGATGACTGGGTTTGGGAAAAAGGCTTATTTCATGAAATCAGTGATAAAATTACCATTTGTACATTTTCAAAAGTTTAATTACAAAAAAATTGGAAAAATATTTATTTCAGCAGGTTTGTAATGTAATATCCTATCGATTGGCGTATTTTGATTTTAATTTCATTTATAAATGACAAAGGTACAAGCGTTCAAAACCTAACACTCCTTCACCACACATATTTTTTGATGTGCACCCCAGTATAGTCGACAAAGCCGTAGTTCTACGTCAAAAAATATCTAAAGCTCCCGAAATTTTCCTGACGCTCGTGGGACTCAAAACTTATTTGAAGCGTCCTGGACTCTTTTCTTGGAACATCTGAAAAGTTCTTGTGTTTTATTTTCAATAGTCAATCGAATGGCCTTATGTTCTCAATTTTTTTCCAGGAGTTTTTAGAACTTCCCTAAAGCTTACACAATTTACCGAATGTTTATCGATTTAGTCTGAAGTTCTCAGAACCATTTCGAAGCTCTCTGATTTTTCCTTAAGATCTTTGCACTTACCTTTTTAAGTTAATTCAGTTAAGTTATTTAAAGCTAATCAACTTATTTTGATAAAAGATAATTGTAGGATTTTAGGACTACCTGGCCGTAGGTATGATGTTTGGTCGGCGGATGTACGGTGGTGCTGGTGGTTAGACACACCACAATGGTAATCCTAAATAATTACGGTAAACAGCGTACTCTTTACACTACGCAATTATAACCTGGCGGGGATTGATCCAGGAATCGACGTTAGGATGCTTCGGACTTCTCTTCTAGCGACGTTTTCATCACTACCTAAAGCCCCACTTTGCGAAAGCATTTCCAGTCGATGGTGTGTTATAATGCAATTTTTCGCTAACTTCGCGTATGAAGTAACATAAAAACACTTTGAATGTAACAACTCAAGGTGGGAGTAGCCGTCAACAATGCTGATGATGGTACAGCACGCAACAACCACCCTACTGCTTTCTCTCTGATATGATCACGGTGGTCATGACGAGAGGAGCAACACAATAGTTGGGTAAAGAAGAATTGCATTATAACACACCATCGACTGGAAATGCTCTCGCAACGTGGGGCTTTAGGTAGTGATGAAAACGTCGCTAGAACTATTCCACAGCCGCAGTCAGTTTATGAGCAAAAGAAGGACGCACATTTTTTGCCTGTAGACTTGGAGACATACTTCAAGTCTCCGCGTACATCGTACGTGTTAGACAAAAGATGTGCGTCTAACTTCAAAAACTGTCGCATTAATGGCCCTTCGCTCATTTTCAACTTCTATTCAATTTTCATACTGCCGTACTCTAACGGAACTATCCACCTGCTATCTTCTAAAGATCATTCTCTAGCTAATAAATTATCACACTAAAGCTTCATGTTAGCATTTCCAACCAACTCTGATTTATGTTTACTTAAACACTACGCAATTGGCAGTGTTTGAAAAATCATTGCTCAGCAATCCATGGGTCGATTTTAAATCTATTGTTACTGAATAAATCTGTTGTAGTTTCAACTGGCGTCAATAAATTTGAAGTCTGTCAATAAATGTCTGAGCTATGATTTTGCAAACATTGCAAGTTTGCCGTTACACATTTTACCGGAGTCATCGTGTTCGGAGTGTTAATCATAAGAGTGTTTAGTAATGGATGGGTGTCCAAAAATGCCCGTATGATATTTTATTGCACAACTTTCACAAGAGAAGCGCATGTAGATCTATATAGGTCCCCCCAAACTGGCGCATTTTTTACGCCGCGGCAGCGGTAGTGAATAAATCGCGTTGACCGCGGCAGCGAAATTTGCGAAAATTAGAGAAATTTGCAGAGCTTCAGGAAAATTTGTAGATCATCAAAAACTTTGTAGAATTTCAGAGAGGTTGAGTTCGCTCTTAGTATTATCCCGATATTTCAGATGAATTATCTCATGAATATTTTTTTTAGTTCTGCTAAATACTGCTCCTACGGAACCTTTGAACTCATATGCCATACTCCTAAGAAATTCATTTGAATTATTCTCAGAACTGAATTTATTTCTAAACTCTCTTTGGATTTTCTCCTTCTTTTGGAATTCAACTTGCTGTTTCTTAATTCTCCTTTTAAATTAAATGTAGTTCTATCAACATATTCCTTAGATTTAGCATAGCATATGCAATTTTACAAATAGTTTGTGGTCAACTATCTGCCCAAATACCTTAGATTTTTCCTCGGTGAGTTTATAGCAGTTTACCGATATTTGTATAAGTTGAGCGATTTTCATATAAATTTGAGAAAGTTCGCAAACATTCATTGAAAAGCAAGGAATTTTGTAGAAGTTCATGGAACTTCATATAAGCTCTGCTAGAATTTCAAGAATTTCGGGGGATTCAGGGAGTTTTGTAGATGGGAATATTGTAGAAATTTCAATGATGGTCAAATTTCAGGGAAGAGTAAATTAAATTTTCAAGTTCAGACATCTTTGAAAATAATAATAAATTGTAGTTTGTGTAATTCCAAAACCATTTAATAGCATTCAATGGGCTACAAAACCTTTCATTTGGCGCTGAGTTTGTCCAAAACAGATGAGTGGTTGCAGAGAAACATGAGCGTATTAATTTCGTTACACACACACATACACACACACGCACACACATACGTACACACACAGACATTTTTCAATTTTCCGTTTTTGCCATTGTGTATTTTGAAAATCACTTTCCGTACAACAACACCAGCACCAGCACGCGTGGGTTTCCCATACCTTTAAATCGATTTATCACCTTAAATATAGCTCTAATCGCGATTTGGGGGGTGTCCAGATGCTCGAAATTTTCATACCCAAATTTCCCAATATAAAATATTTCATAAATCTTTATTTGTCGGCCGGTGGGTTTCCCAAACCTTTAAACCGATTTATCTTCTTAAAAAATAGCTCTAATCATGATTTGGGGGGTGTCCAGATGCTCGAAATTTTCGTGGTTTGAGCGCTTCCACAAGCCGCCATGCATTTAAAACGTGGCGAATTTTAAACCTAAGCTTTAAGGACCCCCTATTTCAGTGCTCTGCTAGTGATGGCTAATAAAAATAAATCGGATTTTCATGCTGGTTACTCATGGAGTAACGATGAGTAGCCACCTTTTTCGAAAAAGTAGTCTTCAAAAGAGATGTAGGGAAAATTATGGTGTACATTTTTGCACAATAGAGTATTTGGGTACAACTTAAAATTCTAAAGCTATAGGTGATTTTAACTCAAACAATAAACAGTCTTCAGGCTGGAGGGTTTAAAAATTTTTGAATTCAATTATCTCCGTATAGATGGCTCTAATCAAGTTGAAAAAATATTGTAACCGGACTTTCCTCATAATTTTGACCTCTACCATAATTTAAAGACTGAACTGGCAGCACTGAGCAAACTGATAATTTTATAGTTAGTTGTGCTTGTGAGTAAACAAACCTCCTATATTTCTGATAAAGAAGGAGGCTGCAAATAATCAGTGTCGAATGGTTTTCTCAGCTTGATTCCCATAGCTGTAAATACATAAGTAACGAATTCTATTTTATTCCAAATGCCTTCAATCACACAAAAGCCAATCATTTTCCTCTCCTTGAAACCGTCCAGTCGGCTGTAGAACGTACTTCATACCGCCCTTGAACACAGCCACATCGTCCTTGGTATCCAAGCCGGCATCGATGTTCTTCGGCAGTCCCATTTCTTTCATCATGGCGGGATAACTCGAACTGACCCTTCTCTTCGTAACATCGTACACCCAGTACTGGCTCCCTTTGAGCGCAAAAATATCTCCATCAGCGTCACTCATCAGGGCATCAATATCACTCGGCAGTCCACGGAATCCATCGCTGATCAATCGCGGATGCCCGGCGTTCAACCGACCATCCGCAAATCGCCAATATTTGTTACCCTTGAAGAAGTAACTTCGTCCGTCGCCGTACCGTAAGGCAGCATCGATGTTTCCGGGAAGGCCGGGCCACTTGGAGGAGATCAACCGGCCGACGGGACGCTTCTCGTTCACATTATAGTAATAAATGCCCGCAAAGACATACAGGTTGCCGTCGGATTCCTGGATGGCAGCATCGATCTTCATCAGGGAGCACAGCTTGGGCGCTACGTTACTCATGGTTCTTCCACCTCTTCGAACACCGTACAGTTCTCGTATGTTCTGAAATCATGGAATTTCTCCCAATGACATTGTAATGTATTGATTAGTTTGTGTGGTTACCTCAATATCAATTGGTTGTGGTTCGGTGAATCGGTTACTCTCGTTCGGATGCATCAACGATGCTTTGGATCGCGAATGCTCCAGCCCCAGTGCGTGGCCGATCTCGTGCAGTGCCGTGTCCAGAAAGTCTTCCATTGTTACGTCCTCGTCGTCGAAAAAATACTTACTGTTAAAGTGAATATCGCCAACTTCCGGGAAGAAGGCATGCGCCAGCGTGGTTGGATCGTCGAACGTACACCGACGATCGCGTTTCCTATGAAGTCGTCCTCCGAAGTTGATTTCAATGTCGGCATCCTCATTGTCCACCTCCGCAAAGTCCAAATTCGTAACCCTACTCCATTCGTTGAACGCTTTCATGAGCATCGTTTGAATGGGACTCGTTCTTTTCGCCCGTGGAAAGTTCTCAATCCTATAGGTAAGTACATTCTTGCTCCACTTGGAGACACCGACCTTGAGTTTGGCGCTTTTTTTCGATCCGCAATGTGGCCGTCCAATGGCCAGCTTCGTCTCATCATCTAGAATGCCCGTAACGGGGATGTCATTGTCATGTTGAAAGGTGCGTATGATTTTGCTTAATGCTCGTTCGTCATCGTCATCAATTTCGTTGTAGCCCAAATCACGGAGGATCCCCTTCGATCAATAGAATGAAAATTGTTTAAATTTTTCACTTTTCCGAAATGCTAATTTTACCTCAGCAATCAGCTCGGTAAGATCGGGAATTTTCAACGCTTCCGCCGGATCCGGTAGAATCTGGTCTGGTCCGGTGGCTTTCTTTCTGCTCAGCTTGGACACTTTGGCTTCCGGTGTGGGAACACCATAGACCTCGCATGGACTTAGCTCGTTATGAAGTATCACCAGGCACAGGACCAGCGTCGATCGACAGCACATCGTAACTTCAGTTCAGTGCGACGCAACGATTGCAACTGACTGGTGCGATATGGGGTCGCTCCCGCTCCTTTCATAAGGTCAATCAAAACAGATGATAACACAGCGCGAGGGAATTCCGAGTGAGATTGTCGATGTTGATGTTTATTTGTGAGCAGCAGGCAAGCCACTATATTTTTAGACATTGAAGATAGAGTACACCACAGATCATGTTGCATGATGACAAGAGCTGAAAAGTTGAATAATCATAAATGGCATTTAAATTGATTGACGTAACAGTACAATTTCACTTTTTTTCGAAGCCGCATCCCAAGCTGGGATGAATATTCTTTTGGTATCCATATATCAATTTTTTTTAGCTTAGCTTAGACTGACTGGTTGCTACTCCATGATTGATCATAATCAGTGAAATTGCACAATGGGTCAATTGAATGAGGTTGGGAGTGACCGAACATTCTCATTGTACAAGTTTCAGTGACTTCTTATATGAATGATCAATAACGACGTCAGTCACGTCCTTGCAATCAGGTGAGAGATGTGAAGGAAAGTTAGAGTTGTTATGAGGACCGTGTTTATCCCTGCGTCCCTACAAAGGTCACAGGAGGAAGGTTTCGTTAGTAGGGTGGGGTTCGTTCGATCAGGATTCACCTTGATAGGTGATGTGATCATTGTTTTGATATAATGGCAGTTTGATAAATACACGAATCCGGAGCTGTGAGAAAACTAACTCTTTTTTGCACAGTTGTAGCAAGTACGCTTTGTTATTTTCAAATCCTCATTAAATATTTATCATGTGTAAATATATTTTTCAATCCATTATTCTTTGTTTTGTATATTTTTTTTTCCTTTGGTTTGTTTTTTCCGTCGATCTTGTTTTCCGTGCTGAGCACCAATGCTACCGACGTGCCAGGAAGACAGCTCCCACACCTGGACCCTACCTATCGACCCATCAACTCATGAACCGGGGACCAACGGCTTTACTTCCCATCCGAAGGAAGGCGTGATCAGAGATGTTATGCCTCAGAACATCCCGGCGGCGCCGACTGGGATTGAACCCAAGCCTGCTGGGGTGAGAGGTAATCACGCTTACCACTACACCACCGCACACTGGGGACAAAATCGAAACAATGTGTTAAAATTCAATAACTTCGGTGCTCGCTGGAACAAGAGACTAAAAAATAGTCATTCTTATAGAAAAAAGTCTCAGAAATCGATTGGAGTGGGTTTCATCTTGGGCACGATAGGGTAAGTTGGGGTTTTTCACAGTTTTGCCCTAAAATCTCCTATTTTGCATGATTTGAATGCTGTATCTCAAGATACCGATGATATAGACGGATGATTTCTTCGGCAAAGTTGATCAGGAGGTCAAGGACTGTTGGATGATGGACAGAACAATTCGGAATTCCTCCACTAGGTGGCGCTAGTGAGCATTCGAAGTGAATATGTATCACAAGATCCTAACTATTTAGACGGATGATTTCTTCGGCAAAGTTGATCAGGGGGTCAAGGATTGTTGGATGATGGACAGAACAATTCCTCCGCTAGGTGGCGCTAGTGATTATTGAAAGTGAATATATTTGTGCTGCTGTATCTCAAGATCCTGACTATTTACACGAATGATTTCTTCGGCAAAGTTGATCAGGGGTCAAGGAATGTTGGATAATGGACAGAACAATTCGGAATTCCTCCGCTAGTTAGAGCTATCTATGATATTCTCTGGCTATTACGTCCCAACTGTAACTTAACGCCTGCTCTCAACTTAGTGCTCTAGATGCACTTCCACAGTTGTTAATTGAAAGCTTTCCAAGCCTGTTCGATTTTAACATGTGTATATTGTGTGGCAAGTACAATAATATACTATGCCCAGGGAAGTAGAGAAATTTTCCAATCTGAAATACTAGACCAACCGGGATTCGAACCCAGCCACCTACAGCATGGTTTGCTTTATAGTAGCAGATTCTATCGACCGAGCTTATGGAGGCCCCCTGATCTATGAATTTAATCAAACTAAAATGCAAGATGGTAGCCTAATTAACAAGTAGCCTAATTAACAATTTGGTGAACCTAGAACGTCTTAAACATATCGAATTCAAACGTAAATAATGTGCATGATATGTTTAACCCTGTTTGGAGATGCTTTAATACAAAGGGCTTTGAATCTGTGAACCTGGATGAGAATTTGATCTGAACTCAAGGACAATTTGGAGAACCGTTTACTTGACTTTGTGTCTAGGGCACTATCGAAAGCACCTGCGGCTGTTGCGCAATGTGTTAAAAACTGGATTGGTCAATTAAATCGGTGATGGTCAACATTTGGAATTTCTACTTGCAGTTTCATCCTTGGACTCGTAATCATTATTTATTTGTTGAAAACAAATAATTTCAGTTGGCAGTCAAAGAATATTCCACAGATTGCACAAACAAACGCAGATCCAAGTATTCAACATAATCAAACGCACCGGGACGTCGCGTCTTCAGGTGGGGGAGTAGTTAAGGCCCAATCATCCCTTGAACCAGGTACATCAGCCAGAGTTCAGCTTCCATTGATAAACCACGCATCATCGAGCACAACATCACCCAGAGTCTAGCTTCCTTTGATAAACCACACATCATCAGTAGCCACCATCATTCCAACAATGTAGCCATCCATCAGAGCCAGAGACATCATTACGCCGAGTCAGCATCTTCGATCATCATTCCTGGTATTCATCGAGCAGCATCACTCGACGTCAACGATCGCCTTTCACACGGTAGCAGCGCCGCAGCTTAGGTAGGACGTGACAGTTTAATAAACAATAATCCATAGGATAGAATTCGTAAGCTGTAACCATTGCGAGAAATAAATCATCATTCATTCTTAGTTCAACAGGCAGCAGAAGAAGTTGTTCTTTTTTAAAAAACAATCCCAATGCCGCCTCGACCATAACATATATATATATATATATATATTTTTTTTTCAACGAATGGAACTCTGTTTCAAATTTCTATGGATGTATTTGTGGAGCTTTTAATCTGACAAATGGCAGACGGCAAACGGAGCCGACAAAATGATCGAGCTTCACACTATAGACATCTCTCAAGAAACCAGATTTTTTCAATACTTCTGGTTCATCATTTTTTCTAAGGATTTTCTACTGTCAAATACTTCAAAACGCGTCTCTCGAGGTATTCTATTATGATACGAGACTCAGATATTATTACAAGGACCTTTAGGTGATCAGATCAGATCAGATCTCCACAAAAAATCTTTGTATATTTATTCAATACTTCTGTATGATCTATTATTCGATTATTCTGAAGATCTTTAACTGACCAACATTCAAATGACGTCTCTTAGAAATTCTCTTATGATACCAGGTGTCTCAGAAATTATACCAAAGACCTTCGGGTGCTCATAGATTTGCAAAACTTCTCAGGATATTTTCTCAATACTTCATGATCATAAATTATTGCAAAGCCTTTAGGTGCTAATAGGTCTCCAATAACTTCTCATAATAATTTTGCAATACTTCAGGATGATCAAGTATTAAATCCGAAGATCTTCAACTGTTCAACTGCCTCTCAAACATTCAAAGTGTTTTATATGTTACTTCATACGTGAAGTTAGCGTTTTCAGAGTTGGTTGGAAATGCTAACATGACGCTTTAGTGTGATAATTTATTAGCTAGAGAATGATCTTTAGAAGAGGGTAGGTGGATAGTTCCGTTAGAGTACGGCAGGGCCATTAATGCGACAGTTTTTTAAGTCAGACGCCCATCTTTTGCCTAATCCGTACGATGTACGCAGAGACTTGAAGTATGTCTTCAAGTCTACAGGCAAGCTAAACTAAAGCTTCATGTTAGCATTTCCAACCAACTCTGAAAACGCTAACTTCGCGTATGAAGTAACATATAAAACACTTTGAATGTAACAACTTAAGGCGGGAGTAGCCGTCAACAATGCTGATGATGGTACAGCACGCAACAACCACCCTACAGCTATCTCTCTGAGATGACCACGTTGGTCATGACGAGAGAAGCAACACAATAGTTGGGTCAAGAAGAATTGCATTATAATACACCATCGACTGGAAATGCTCTCTCAAACGTGGGGCTTTAGGTAGTGATGAAACGTCGCTAGAACTATTCCACAGCCGCAGTCAGTTATGAGCAGAAGGAGAACGCACATCTTTTGCCTGTAGACTTAAAGACATACTTCAAGTCTCCGCGTACATCGTACGGGTTAGGCAAAAGATGTGCGTCTGACTTCAAAAACTGTCGTATTAAAATGGCCCTTTGCTCATTTTCAAACTTCTATTCAATTTTCATACTGCCGTACTCTAACGGAACTATCCACCTACCCTCTTCTAAAGATCATTCTCTAGCTTATAAATTATCACACTAAAGCTTCAAGTTAGCATTTCCAACCAACTGTGCTTCTCAAAGATTGGCTAGTGATATCAGCTGTCTCAGAAATTATTGCTAAGACCTTCAGGTGTTCATAGGTCTCCAAACACATCTCTGGATATTTTTTCCAAGATTTCCCGGTTCAGTTTCCCTGCATATTTTGACTGCAGAATCGTCCGGGACCTTTTTCGTGGTTAGAATTCATTACCTGCCACTGGATAACGTTTTTGCAATCATCTTGGTCCAGAGAACATTTTAGAAAACGAATCACTTTCTCCGTTCTTGTTAAAATCACCGAAGCAAACAAGCTGTGCCCACGCATACATATGTAGGGATGAATACCATACACCGTTTAACTCTTCTTCTTCTTATTCTTCTTCTTCTTCTTCTTCTTCTTATTCTTCTTCTTCTTCTTCTTCTTCACATTTCAAGCTTATTGATTATCGTATATTAGCTTATTGCGTGCTCTCAACTTAGTGTTCTAGATACACTTCCACAGTTATTAAATTGAGAGCTACCGTTGCCAGTACCATTTTTGCATTAGTATAATTGTGTGTCAAGTTCAATCATACTCTATATGCCCAGGGAAGTTGAGAAATTTTCCAACCCGAAAAATTCCTAGACCGGACCGGGAATCAAACCCAGCCACCTCAAGCATGGTCTTGCTTTGTAGCTGCACCGTTACCGACTGAGCTAACGGAGGCCTTTACTAAATACCTAGTTTATGGTTGAAACTAATGACATACAAACAAAATCAGCGTAATTGCTACTGCGGCTACTAATCTTCAGCAGGGTCATCATTGAGTGTCTCTCACGTAAAGTAATGCTAAATTAACTACTGATTGGGCAATTGCATCAACGTAATATTCAGTGTAATCCCAAACCCAAGCTATTATTAAAATATGGACAAACCAGCCCCTAGATAGTGATAGTCCCGCCGAGCCTGCATCCGATGGCAACGCTTGTCAACAAACTGGACACGATGTTTGTAAATTTCGTCGACCCGCCAGCGTGGTAATCAGTTGTATTCCGGCATTATCAGTGGAAAGATGAATCTGCTGGTATTTGCTCCTCTGCTAGGTTTGCTTCGGATCGGTTTTACCGTTCCTGTTTACATAAATCCCGATTCGGTTGTCTTCAAATCGACCCATCTGCCGACCAATGTTATGAACCAGGAGGATACAAATAAATTTCCCACCGACCCAAGGATGCCACTGGACGTGACGGAGCATGATGTAACTGTAAGATCGCTTGCCCAATGAATGCGAGTCTATAATTTTCATCGAGACATTGATTGCAGGTGTTTCTAGAAGATGAAGGATTTTTAAGCAAGGATGAGATCGTCAATAGGATGGATCAAACGACAGATGATAGTACAACTCTGGCGCTGAAACGACTCCAACAGCGTTATCATCTGTTCGAAAGTGGAACACTTGACGATGATACCCGTCGGCTTATCGCGGCACCTCGCTGTGGCGTTGCTGAACTCAATACGATCGACGCAAAATGGACAAAACGATCGTTGACGTTCAAAATCAGCAGCTTTCCCAGAAGCATTGCCACTGCCGAAGCGAGACAACTGATTAAGCAAGCTTTCGACGAGTGGACCAAACATGTTCAACTGACCATAACAGAGGTTGTCCGTGGGCCAGCCGATATCTACGTGAGTGATGAACAGGAAATTCACCGGAATCGACTCGGACAGGAGTGTAGATTTTCCAGCAATACAACGTTAGCTCACGCATTCTACCCGGAAGTGGGAGACATCCATTATAACAACCAACGCACTTATACGGCGGATGAGTTCTTTAGCACAACCATCCACGAGATTGGTCATACGCTTGGCTTGGAACATACGACTTCACAAACATCGATCATGTTTCCGATGCACATTCGGTATCACACGGAGATCCCACCGGAGGATCGTCGTGCACTTCAAGCACTGTATGGGGTGCGACAAACTACTGTCAGACCAACCTCTGCTTCAGGTCCCCCCAAGAACGGACCACGACTTTGTTCACTGGACAGGATCGATACCATACTGAACGACGCCGAGGGTCAGACTTTAGTTCTGGCTGGAAACTACTACTATCCTCTGAGCGTACGTAATCCCAAGGGTCGACGAATTCGATCGAAATGGCCACGGCTTCCGGCAGGAATTGAGGCCGCGTTCACCTACCGAAACAACAAAACCTTCTTCTTCAAGCATAACAGAGTGTGGGTGTATGCTGACGATCAACTGGAAGCCGGCTATCCGAAGCCCATTGCGGATGAGTTTCCTGGGCTGCCGAACAATTTGAGCACCGTGTTTCTAACGCGCAATGGGAGTCTTTTGGCCATCAGGAAAAAGCAGTACTGGTTCTACAGTCCCCGGATGCGACCGCAGGTGAGCAAGGAATTTCCACGGCTGGTGTACGACTTCAAGGATATGCCGACGAATTTGGATGCTGCGCTGCGCCACACGGATGGGCAGTCGTACTTCTTCAAGGACCGCAGCTATTACGTCATGAACATGAAGAATTATTCGGTGGGATCTGCTAGCCCGATGGAGGGTCGGTGGTTTTTGTGCTGACCTTTGGCGTGGAACTCAGAGATGTGGTATTCGACATTCACACGGAAACAGGCGATTCTGGTTTTAGAGCTTCGGAAAAAAGAAGCAAGGCATCACTGTGATGAGTAATATAATATAAATATGTTATGCCAAAAATATCAGCGACAATATGGCTTCATGATTTATTTTCCAATTTCTTAAATCTTGACAAGAATCCAAAATGCAAAGTGTTAAATTTTTATTTTTGTCACTTCCTCTCGGAAGTTTAAGTTTGTGGAGGGACAATTTCATCCCCTTTAATCCCGTTTCCTAAAGCTTAGGGAACATATATTAACCCTAGCCAGCAAGCGGCTCTGCACGCTGAATCGAAACGGACAGCAGCAGAAGCAGAACGAAACAGACGAGAAACTGAAAGAAAGAGAAAAATATGCGCTGTCAATGTGCAATAGCGATTGAACGCGTAAAAAGTGAATCGCACATAGCTAGAATAAAATGAGTAATTTGTTTTTGGGTTCATTGAACCATTTTAGCATTTTAGGGGAGATCGAGGTAGGCCACGCGCAAAGTTGAAATGTTTTGTTTTTGCAGCTGTTTTTTTTCGAGTAATTTTTATCATTTTATGAACCTGATTTTGATGATTTCAAAAGTGTTTTTAGTGTTCGTGATTCATGTCATTTTTTTAAATGGCATCAGCGGCATCACGTTGTGTGGCAAGTACTACCAAGGCGAAAATAGTTTATGCGCCACCGCTGCCGATGACATGACCGGTTTACAGGTCTACTTGAAACATGCTTTTGCATGAAATAGTCCCTTCAACCACAATATTTGCCCACTTCCAGATAGTATACATAAAATAAAGTCCCAGGAAGAAATAAGCAAAATGAGTTGCTGAGTGAAATACGGCCTCAAAGGTTTTATTGGAGATATAATAGTCAACAAACAAGTAACGATTACAAGAAGCAATTTAATATAGCTGTTTTTTAGGAGTCGAATTTAAACAAGTTTTAACTCCAGGAGCATACATATCAAAAAGGAAAGCAAAAGTAATATATTTATGAAATTATGAGTTTATTTTTCCAGTGTACTCTGAGTTTTTTCAGCAGTAGTGTATACCCGTACTTTGCATATTTTGTTTAAAATTTCACAAACAAAATTTAAACATCATTTAACAACAAAATACTTGGATACTTTTTCCTTATTTGCGTGGAATGGTCTTTGTTTTGCAAAAACACTTCAGCCTATTGCTCTTTATATAATACTATTACCAATATTTTTTATAATGCAGGTATAAAATAAACTCATCAAAACTGAATGGTACTTAAGAAGGACTTGTTGCCAAGGCATTTTTCTATTCAAAACCATCTATTGAAGAAAAAGGCATTTTTGATAAGATAACAAAATATAAAGATCATCTTCAGTTTTCATTAAAAATTGTTGAACAACATCCCTGCATGTTTCCAACAAGTATACGTATTACATTAAAACAAAGTATGAAATACATTAATCTTGCCCCACAGAAAGTAGATTTCCACATCATGATTTTTTTCTCATTAATATTGCACTAAAATCTCCCATAAGTTGTTGTTGAACACTGCTTTTTATTGTGCAAGATAAATTTTACGTTTACTTTGTTTTAATGTAATCCGTGAACTTGTTGGAAACGTGCGGCGATGTTGTTCAACAACTTTCAACTTAAATTGCAGTTGTTCTTTCAACATATTGCAGTTGTTGATGTTGCCTGCTTTGATAAAATTGACACATAAATCAATTTTACGGATGTTACGGATCTTCTCACGGACCATCTGGTGACTAATCAGAGCCATTGAACAGCTAATGTATCTAAAATCACCATTTTACTACACTCCACATAGTTGCAGAGTAAAATCAAGGCCTACTTTGATCAAATTTACACAGCAATAAATTTATCAGATTTTCCGGATCTTCCAGTGGGTTATGTCGTGACCACTCGGAACAATTGAACCGCTAATATAACAAAAATTACTATTTTACTACATTTCACGTAGTTGCAAAGCAAAATCAAGGCCTACTTTCATCAAATTTACGCAGCAATACATTTTACGGATGTTCCGGATCTTTCGGCGAGCCACTTGGAGCCAGTGAACAACTACACAGCAAAAAATAATTTTGATATCACATCAAAGTGGATGCACTACAATCATGTCGAAAATTTCATGTAATTTTTATGACCACATACATAAACAAATGCAGTAAAAGCAGCGTAATGTCAGTTCATGCATTGTATTAATGATAATTTTGTCCCTTTTATCAAGTAATATTACACCATATTTTCGACATGATTGTAGTGCATCCACTTTGACGTGATATCAAAATTATTTTTTTGCTGTGTAATATATAAAAAATCATAATTTTACTACATTATATACAGTTGCAATGAAAAATCAAGGCATACTTTGATGAAATTTACTTAGCAATCAATTTTACGGATGTTCCAGATCTTTCGGTGGGTCATCTGGTGACCATTTGGAGCCAATGACCAGCTAATATTTCAGAAATCACCATTTTACTGTATTCCATATAATTGCGGAGGAAAATCAAGGCCTACTTTGATCAAATTTACACAGCAATCAATTTTACGGATGTTCCGTATCTACCAGCGGACCATCTGGTGATAACTCGGAGCCATTGAACAGCTAACATATCAAAAATCACCATTTTACAACATTTATCATTGTTGCAGAGAAAAATCAAGGCCTACTTTGATCGAATTTAAGTAGCACTAAATTTTACGGATGTTTCGGATCTTCCGGCGGATCATCTGGTGACCACTTGGAGCCATTGAAACGCTTATATATCTAAAATCATTAATTTACTACATTTCATATAGTTGCAGAGAATAATCAAGGCCTACTTTGATCAAAAATACATAATAATCCAGATTAAGGTTGATCCAGGTCATCGGAAGGCCTTCCGGTGGACGCTCAGTATTTAGAACCAGGTTATGGGTTGATTTTGTTAAAATATTAATCAGCACTACCCATAGATGCCTGTTGCTGTGGATTTTCAGCACCACCTTGTTGTAGACGACTGGTACCTTTTCTCCCCCCGATGCACTATGGGCAAAAATGGGTCCAAAATTACCCAAAATTCAATATCTCAACAGCACGCTGAATTCCGGCCATGAAAAACGACTTTTCCGAAGGGAAATTGTCCGGGAAATCGATTGCACGTAGTCCCATAGACCGGAGAGCCTTTTATGTATGTGTTTTGGACCATTTTACCCCATTTTCCCCTACTTTTTGGAGGAAAATTTTTTTCACAGCTCTATTTTTCGTAAAACATAAGCACTTTATGCATGGTTTTAGAATACTATTTCTTTAAACAACAGTTCATGATATATTAGGGGAATACGGGGTACACTTTATAGGGGAGTAAGGGGTAAAAGTGAAAAAAAACAATCAATGTTTTTTAACACATTATCCTTTTTTTAATATCTTAATATTTTTTTCTTAAATTTTTTTTTAATTAACTTTCATTTGGTATTTTGAGTTCCGTCATCGGCCAAACAGTTCAAAAGTTATACATTTTTGAAAAAAATCGAGGGAAAAAAATTTTTTTTTGAGCGCTCTAATATATAAATAGTCACCCTAATGACAAAATAAAAAATAAGGGTCTAATGTGTTGCGATTAGGAACAAAACTACCAATTTTTACAAAATTCTGAGAACCACTATATCGTTTTGCTGTATACAGACAAAAAAAGTGAAAACTCTTTTAAAACAGATAGCAGTAAATTAAAACTTATTTAACCCCAATTAACCTTAAAATTTCAAAAACAATCTTATTGTTGCAAGCAACAATCGCATCGTTCAACATTTTTATGAATTAAAATAAATTTAGCGAGGGTTCACTTTTACCCCTTACTCCCCTATAAAGTGTACCCCGTATTCCCCTAATATCTCATGAACTGTTGTTTAAAGACATAGTATTCTAAAACCATGCATAAAGTGCTTATGTTTTACGAAAAATAGAGCTGTGAAAAAAAATTTCCTCCAAAAAGTAGGGGAAAATGGGGTAAAATGGTCCAAAACACATACCTACAAGGCTCTCCGGTCTATGGGACTACGTGCAATCGATTTCCCGAACGATTTCCCTTCGGAAAAGTCGTTTTTCATTCCCGGAATTCAGCGTGCTGTTGAGATATTGAATTTTGGGTAATTTTGGACCCATTTTTGCCCATAGTGCGATGGCCTCTCGGAAACCCGGAATAAAACCGGAACCACTTGGCCAATCTGTTCCAATTTTTAGTAGACCAAAATTTCGAACATTTTTCTGCCCACTGTGAAAATTTCAACCAATTTCATGGTTAAACAAAAAAGTTATACCTATGCAAACATTGCTATTCGTATACCTGTTCGTAAAAATAAAAACTGCACAAGCGCGTTAGGCCCTCCCCAGAAGTGAAGCAGGTGGTGTTCGTTTGAAACGCTAATAACTTTTCGGAGGTAACTCGGATGCACATCCGGTCTTCAGCCAAGATGTTCCCAATACTTCAAAGGTGCTACATTTTGTACACGAAGAAAATCGACCCACTACAGCGCCACCTTGAGCCGCGAATGTGAAAGTGGCTCGCTCCCCCATACATTTTGTCGATTTTCCCCATACAAACTTCAAGCCGTTTGAGCGAGGGGTTCCCGTGAACCAAATGACTTCAAATTTTGGCAGGGTGTTTCTGACCCCCAAAACTACCATTCCTGAGGGTAGCGTTTGAAATCCCAGATTTGACCTATTTTGAAACAGTCTAGTACACATGTACATAGATATTATCTCATAGATACCGGGCAACTCAGAAATGAATCCAACGATCTTCAGGTTTCGTAAGATCTCAATGAAGTCCTCTTGATATTTTCAAGACTTCAAGGTACCAGTCATCTTCGAAATTGGTGGGCGTTGGCCAAATTTGGATTTTGCAGATCCTAAATAGGACCTAGATTATTTAATACTCTAGTAACCTCAAGTCCGTGCTCTGTCACAATGTTTTATTGTGATTAATCAACACTCAAAGGGGTAAAATATCAAATTTGCGGTAAATTTGAAAAAAAGGGAACTTGAAGTGTAGAGCGCACT